CCCCAGGGTGGCTGTGGCTACAATGTAGCTTGGCATCACCAGTGTGTGAATGTGTGTGTGAATGGGTGGATGACTGGATATGTAAAGCGCTTTGGGGTCCTTATGGACTAGTAAAGCGCTATATAAATACAGGCCATTTACCATTTACCAAATAAGTAAAAAGTAAAGTAACAGGATTACTTTTTTGGGGAAGTAATCAGTAATTAGTTACTGATTACTTTTTTCAAGTAACTTGACCAACACTGGTTATAGGAACCTTGTCTGATAATCATCTACATGTTTGTAAACTATGTGTTTCTGCCAATGGGTCATATACAGGAAGTAAAGCCCTGTGACATCACGTCATTGCTTTTTTGCTGATACATCACTGAGTGTATATACACATTTATAGTGTGTATATAGACTCACTGGCTACTTTAATAGGTATAGATATATACAGGTTGTGTTGACTACACACATTAGCATGTTTATTTGCATTAATAAGCAGCTGAACACATGCTGGGTGTGTTTGGGTTTTTTTGTAGAGCATCCAAAGCTGTGTTTGTTAGGTTAACACAGGGGTCTCCAACCTCCAGGCCCAGAGTCACCTCAGATCAGAGCCTTATGTTTTCTATGTATGTAAGCCTTACATGGGGTATGAGGTTTCCTGTGGATTTGTTCTATAAACAAAAACATAGCAGGTGAAATTTCCTCTGAACTTCCAGAACTTCCTCCTTTCCCTTTCACATTGTTTCCAGCATCGTTGATCTCGCCATCTCACTTACACCACGTCAACTGTTGTCAGTATTGTTTAGCTTTCGCTCCGTTTAGGAAACGGCAGCTGTGCTGTCTGGAAGTTCTGCTCTTCATGCATCACTGTACAAAAAAGTGTTTTAGTGAGGGGAAATGTGGGTGCTGCCTCGGGCTCGGTGGTGCTACGGGGATGAATATGCAGCTAATGCAGAGATGTTGACAGAGAGAGTGTATAAACATTTGCGGCGTGACTGGTTTCCCAGAAAACAAAGAGGAAGTAATGACAAATAGAAGGAGCCCTGGTGATGCAATTACATTACATTAGAGCACTCTCAGCCTGATAGTAAACTCCGAGCACACTGCTCATCACACATAATCAAACACAACAGCTCAGAGGTGAAGCTCTCGGTGTACATTATAGAGCACACCATAGATTTGTGCATTAGCATAGATCCTGTCAGGCATCATATGCACAGCAGTTGTGTGCTGCACAGTAGCAGCTGATATCACATGAAACACAGTTTGATTTCCCAGATAGGGCACCACTTACATCGAAGTCAGTCATGTGAGTTTTTGCTCAGATGTTGCTGCCACACTTGCACCCTAATCACAAACAAAAGCCAAAGGAGAACTCTTTGTACTTGCACTGTACCACATGTATGACTCTCTTGGCGTAAACTTTAATGTATAGATTCATAAAATTACAGAAAACTCACTGGCAATTTGATCTTGTAATTTTAAAACTGTAATTAGTGACCAAATGTTTTCTGTTACTAACAATTAAAAAACTCATTCTGCCATTTAATGTTTTGTTTTTTGTTTTATTTCTTTGGTGCAGTATTCAGGTCATGTGTGAACGATTAAATCCCAGTTCTTGCCGTCAGGTCTTATGTTTGATTCTCCGTTCATTCAAGTTTAACTCGCACAGAGAGTCAATGTGACTGAACTATAGAGTAACCCCAGTGTAGACGTCAGACATCAGTCTGGGTGATGATTGGGTGATTGCATAGAATCTGTTGTAAGTAAGGTGAAGAGGGTGTGATGTGTCTCAACCAGTGGGGCATAAACAGGAAGTAATCGTCTGTCGCACATGAGCAGATCAGTACTTTCCAGGTTTGAAACACTTTTCATGCACACTGATGCTCTGTCGGGTGTTTTATATTCACACAATTATGTTGTGTGGGTAGTACACAGCCACAGGTCATGCTGCTTTCTCTCTGTTTGTTCATCAAACGTCTGAATCTGCCACGCACCAACACAGACTCAACACCTGACTGAAAAACAAACTGTAAAAATGTAATGTGATGTTAATCCAGTGACTCAAAATGATTCATGCTGTTTAACTTTGAACATCACAAGGAAAATCAAGTTTCTCATAGTAAGCAGACAAGTATGAAAACAAAAGATTTTTATTTTTGTTAAAGAAGGTTAACACAGAAATGCTGGATTTGTGGACCAGACATGATGAATGTCACTGCATTTACTGATTGAATTGCTTGAAGTTTTTCAAAAGGAAGAATGTTTATGCATGGGTAAAGATGGATTTTCTTCTTGTCTGCAGGTAAATCAGCAGTATAATAGAAGTAAAGCTTTTTGTTTTTTTAGTATAATTTTGATGATAGTGATCGCTTATATTTTCTGCTCACGATTCCCTCCAAGAGCAGTCAATACTGTTCTGTGAAATCACACCCTGGACGGAGAATTTGTCCTGAGGTTTGAAAATCCTGGTCCTTCTGTGGGGGCTGGGAAAGTTTCCAAATTGTGTAACACTTTTCACATCTTCACCTCATATACTTCTTTGACTTTCCACTAATTGACTTGCAGCCATTCACTAACCATTGATTTAGGAATCATTTCTACAGCAACTGCCATCAACCATCAGCAACCACTCACCAGCAGTTTAACAGGGACTACAGATTATTCCTTAGTGGTTGACAGATTGTTGCAGACTGCTTTCCAGGCCTGTGTATTTGGGGCCTTGGCTTTTGTTTGATGAAATTATGCTTGACTGACTCTTTTAGCATCCATTTAGCATTTCATTATGTTTTGTGAGATACCTTTGCTTGGTGGTAGAAAATTAAACAGCGAGAGTCAAACATAGTCCAACCAGGAGCACAGCTGCAGAACCTGCAAAACAGTCATATTAGAAAGAAACTGTACACATAATGTACATGGGCACGATAGAGGGACATCTAAATTAATTCCAGTATCATAAGCTTTGTAATCCCAAACCCCAAAATAAATGCAAGCTAGAACCTAAATAAGGACATCCAAATGTCCCCTGGCAATGTCACAGAATAAAGGTCTAATTATTATTATAATTGTAATTAAAATATTAATTAATTAATTAATTATTAAAGTTTTTAAATAAAAAATAAATATAAGTAATTAACACATTTTAAAAACATAAATAAAGTTAAAGTTATTTGAAGAAAGTTTAAATTCTTGAAACCGGAAGTTTGAACTGAACAGTCCGCCAACCCATTACGGTCGACTGCTCCCTGTCTCGTGTTAAACACCTGCACGCGGGAGTGAAGGAAGGAAGTAGGGCGGGAGGTGAGAGCTTCAGCGGGTGAGTTTGGTTTGATATTAAAGCCGTTAAATGTAGTTGTTTAAAAAAAAAAAATCCGTTACTGAGTCTCTCAGACGGGCAGCGTACCGCTCTCATCCGCTCCTCTGGTTCTCGGCGTCCGCTCGGGGATCTCGGTGTTGCTCGAGCCGATCCCAGCGCGCAGTAACGGGTAGCGGACTTAGCAGCTAAGTGTGCTAATAGCTAATATTGGCTTTAAGCCATGTAATAAACTAAGCTTTTATAAATCAGCTACCATTATTTATGGGAAATATTTTTAAGTAATATTAAAAAAAGTTCTCTTTACTACCTTAAATACACCCGAGGTAATCATGAAGTGTCAGAAATGTTTGCCTGACATCCGCGAAAGCTGCAAACATCATTGATTCAGACTTACAGAAATCATAATTTAGTTTTATTTAATTTTGTTGGTGGTATCCACTGTGTGAAATTTTATTATGTAATGCAGTCATATTCTAAGGTTGAAATCTTTTAGCGTTTTCGGTATTTGGTCTTTAAATTGAAGGTGATTGACTCAGTGTAAATGAGCCTTATTACCTTAATGGGTCAAAATAAGTCCTTTGCCACAAGTGAGTACACACTTTGTTTTTGTTTGTTTGTTTGTTTTTTGGCAGGTTAAAGTTTTGATTTTATTGCATTAATACTGGTAATTGTTATATTTATGAAGGTAGAGCTAGTTTTTTTTATTGCTATTGATACAATTCAAATAGGGATTAAAATATCTGCATAGTTGTGGTTTGACCAAATTGTATGTGAAAAGACTGAATGAGATGATTTGATGTGACTTTGATTTCTCAGTGTGGGCCTTGGTAGAGCTTTCCCTCTACACCAGGGGTGGGGAACTTCAGACCTCAATGGCTGGTGTCCTGCAGGTTTTAGATGTGTTCTTGATCCGAAACGGCTGATTCAAATGGGTAAATTACCTCCTTAACATGTCTTACCTTCTCCACATGCCCGGTAATGAACAAATCATTGGCTTCAGGTCCAGACCCAGGGTGATATTGAAAACCTTGAGGCCTGGAGCACACCACACCAATAGTGTTTCCATTTTTTTTTTGTTTGCACGTAAATTTAAAAAATATGATCTCAATAATAATCTAAATGGTAAATGGCCTGTATTTATATAGCGCTTTACTAGTCCCTAAGGACTCCAAAGCGCTTTACACATCCAGTCATCCACTCATTCACACACTAATCTAAGAGCTCAATAATGGCATTTGTGGCTAGGACTTGTTAAGCTCTCCAAAGGATGACTGGAGCTTCATGTGCCTTGCTAAGTATTCAATAAGCATGGATTAAATATGAATCAGGGCAGAGTATGATGATGTCACACATAGAGCCAAAGCTTTTTTTCTTTTTTTTTTAACCATCTTAAGAAAACAAAACAAAATAAAAATGCTAATTCATAAACTAAAACTTAAGTCTAAATCTTTTTGCTAACTTTAAATGCATGCTCAGTAACTCAGGTAGGGAAATCCTGAAATATCATCCTCCAGATTCAGTGGGAAAAACTTTTAATCACTTATCCAACTGGCGACTTCAGTCTCAGCTGACTGCAGGTTTCCTCAAGCTTATAAACAGTACAGCTGTATACCGACCTGCCTGCAGTCAGCTGAGACTGAAGTTACTTGGATGAGTGATGAAATGTTTCCCCCCCCTGGAAAGGCTGCATCCAGATGAACAGAATAAACTTGCTGAGTTTCTAAAAACCTAGAACTTACAAAAAAAAGAGGAAAAAATGAAAGAAATTTCCATGGAACAGTGTAATCTTTATTTTCTGTGCTTTTCAACATGCGCCCTTAACTTGATGTAAACACAGAGGCGTACTTTTTTTCTCTTCCCTTAAACTGAAGGAATAGGAATCCAGGACACATTCATCACGAGCACAGAGAAGGACATGGCGCAAAGAATCCACAGTGAGTCTTGGGGAAATGCTGTTGACATGAGTTATATTCTTCCAAGGGTTGTATAGTGTTGCTCATTAATGCATTAAGGAGAAAAAAATGATGTTAATCTGATATAAACTTCTGTTTGAACAATTACTTAATGACTAAAAAAAGAAAATGGTGCTTTTTCCGTTCTTTTTCCAATAGACCTAGACGACAAATATCCCACAAATATATTCAGAAGACTCGGTCCACCCATAATTGACCAGTTGAAACCTTTTTCTGTCTGTCCAGGGATCATCAGTTGTGACCAAAGAGCTGATGTGCACCAGTTAAGAAGGCTTTCTAATCCATTTATTAATTTTAAGATTGAGATCATTAACAATGGCACAAATAAAAGAAAACTGCATGAATCCAGTCCTGACGACTGTTACGTGACCCCATTAAAAAAGCCCTTTGATCCAAAGGCTTTGTCCCCTGACCTCGGGTGTTTTGTGGAATGTTACAGCACTCCTGTGAAACAGGAATTGGCATCCCCTTTTTCCACATTGAATCCTGAACTGACAGCTAAGACACAAGATGTTGGGAGTGAAATAAAAGAAACTGTGAGCTCTCAGCTGCTCTCAAAAGATGCAAAATATGGGCCTTCCGCAGAAAGAGGAGGAGGATCTCTCAAAAAAGAGACCAAAGCACAAGATCTGATGCATGAGAGGGTTTTAAATCCTTCACCGACATTTGACTGTGACGTGGATGACATCTTGTGTCTCAATCCCGATAGCCCTTTAAGATTTTTGGAAGATGAAGACGGCTACATGAGTCACAGTTGCCAAATCTTTCAAAATGGGCTGTTTCCCGTTACTGGACTCACTGTGGCAGAAGAACCAGCAGATGAGGTGAAGAGGGAAACGTGTCTCAGTGTAAAAGACGTGGAAGAGGATAAAGGCTATATATCGCTTTTGTTTATCAATGAAAATAAAGGGGCCGGGTTGGTGAACTCCGAACGGCTTACAACTAACTCAGCCGAGGGTGACTATCATCCCCAAACTTCATCTGACCCACGGGTACATGAACAAACTGCAACCTCTGGATGCCTCACCGTCACAGTAGACAACCTGATCCCAAGTAGCTGCGGACCTCTCTTGGAGCATGTGAACACTAATTGTTTGGAAAGTTGTAAATTGGAGGGGGTGTGGGATATCGGTCCTCCAATATTTGAATCCTCTATGTGCCACAGCGAAACGGACAAATTGAAAGCAGAGCAGAGCTGTCAGGTGTTGGAGGAGGTGCAGGAAAATGTGACTGAGCCTGTCCAAAGCACACTGAAGAAAGAAGTCACTGCTGAGGAAGTACAGGTATGTTACCTCAGCCTTTCTTTATCTTATTTGTCTGGGTTACTTAAATATAAATATCAACTGTAATATTGTGGATCACTTAGGTAAATCTTGGACATTACACAAAATGCCCTTTTGACTTTTTTTTTCTCAGGTTAAATCCAAAGTACAGAACTCAAACAGAAGCACCCCAGACAGCAGTGTTGTTTCTGTCCCAAAGACGGCGACAAAGCCCATCAGAACCCTTCAGCCTGGCAAGAGTGCCTCTCAGAGGTATTGTAGTAATCACCACCACCACTAGAGGGAGCTATGTTACTGTAACTCACACGTTTTTTTTCTTTTTTCATGGCTTTGTGATTTCAAGGTTGTCTGCATCTGCCTTATTGTTTGTTTTCTTGCAGCTTAATGTATCTTTTCTTAGCTGAGCAGGCTTTGTGTTTATAGTTTTCATAATTTCATGTCTGAAGTGTGACATGATTAGATATGTTTGAATTGAACTTGGTGTTTTTATTTTCCTTTAGATCCATGGTCTTCGGCAGTGAATTGCAGTGGGAGCAGGAAAAGGAGCTCTATGTGCATTCAGTTGTCAGTCATATGTATGAGAATCCAGGAGTCAGTAATGGTAAGAAGCTGACCTAGTGTCTGTGCAAAGAGAATGGGAGCACTCTGATATCTAAATTATCAGGCCTTTCTCTTGTTTACTGTTTTGTTATGCATTCCTTTTTTTTAATATCCATTAATTTACACATTATATAGATTTTTGAGAAGGAACACCAGAGAACAGTTGTTAAATTTCAGCACGATACAGCTTATTTTTTACATTTTAAGCTCTGTCTACAGTACTGTGGAGGAGTGTAGTATAGACAATTTAAAACAAACAAATTAAAAATACTTCAACTATATATGGTAAAGACATTTGTTTCCTCCAGGTGTCACATCTGAGCTCCGGAGTTTGATGAGCTGTGTATCAGCAGGCGTGAATAGCAGAGAGTGGCAGCATCCCTCCGACCTCACCTGCAGGTACGTCACGCTCTCTGCAGTTCTTTGTAACTATGTTGAAGTCTCACTTTCAAGCAATCATTTGGCAGATCTGAGGAATGATGCAAAGCAAGATTAATGGGTTAACTAGATATGTCATGGAGGTTCAGTGTTATGAAGGTGGCTTTTCTTCCTGGTTGGATGAGCATAGTAAATTATGCTGAATGGATACACTTGTCAGGAGCAGGTTATGTTTACTTGCATGCTGGGGCAGCAGGTTGAAGGATTCCAACAGGGTCCATAAACTGATCTTCAAGGGCAGTAAAACTGTGGGGATGGAGCTCGACTTTGAGTCCAAGTTGAGGACAATGCTGGACACTTCCTCCAACCCACTCAAAGACGTGCTGGCCAGTCACAGGAGCAGGTTTGGTGAGAGTCTGAGAATACCTAAATGCACAACTGAACAACACAGGAAATCATTCCTGCCTGTGGCTGCTGTCGGATTATAATATTATTTTAAGCCATGTTAGACCCCTAATTAAAGATTGTGAATTATTATGTAGTTTTAGTTTGCATTATGCTCCTGAATTAGAAGAAGGTGATAACTATTACATTTGGTAAACTGATTTGCATTATATTAGACTGCTGATTTATTGTGAATGAATGATATTGTTTTATGATGCATTATACTGCTGAGTTATAAGAAATACTGTTCACAGAAAGTCATCGCCTTATTTGTCTGGTTAGAAGAGAACCGAGCATACTGCCCCATCTCACCAGGAGCAGATAAACAGGGAGCCAAGGTCGTAGCTTAGGCGCTGTGTGAGAAAGAATGTGAATGTTTAGGCTTTTATGATTAGGTGGGGGCCACTAGAGGCTATAAGAGTTTGATCAAGGCTCCACCATTTTGAGATCTGATGCTGTCTGCTGTATGGTGTCCATCTCCCACGCGTGTGTTCATTAAATCATCGTTTGACTTGACCCGGCCGGACCAGTGTTGTTATTTTTGGTTTTCCTCTTGTATCCATCCCCAATATTTGAATCCGTAACACTGCCTCATGGTGCAATCCGTCCATGTAAAGCACAAGTTCAGTTCACTTATTTTTACAGTGCCAGATCACAAGAACAGTCATCTCAAAGCACTTTACATTGTAAACTTAAAATTAGTATTGTTTTGTAGTCCCTTCAATAATACAACAGAGAGAACAAAAAAAAGTTGCAGTAGTTGCACACCTGTACTGTCTGCACATCCTCTGCAGATGGGAAAAATAAAGTACAATAAGAGGGCACCTCAGTGTCAACCCTGTATATTTAACATGTGTGATGTACTCGGATGTTTTTAATTAGAGCTATTTTCTGCCTAAACACACAGCGCTGCTGTTGCAGGAATTTGCATGTGTTCAGTTGGTGATGCAAAAAACTCATGTTTTTGTACTTTATCCCAGGTTAACTCAGTTTAAAGTTTCATTGGTTTAATTTCTGCCGAAATAAGCAGCAGCACTTAAAGTAACTTTAAGTCATGAAGCATTACCCTCATCTTATTTATAGCAACAGTTATCGCCTGTGGGAGACATTTATTGTCTTGTTTTTAATAATTAATGTTATTTATAAGATTTATGTGGCATATTTGCCTGTTGATTTTATTCATTCATTTTATTTTTATCATCTTTACTTTGTGTTATAAGAACTTACTACAGACTCCAGGGTGAAAAGACCAGCATGTAGTGGAGCGCTGGGAGCAGACTGCCTCAGACAACAGAATGCTGATAATCACTGCCATGACACCCATTTTGTTGATGTTGAACTTCATAGTTACGCCGTCTTCTGCCCTTATTTTCAGAAATTACTGGAGACACTTTGGGGCTGCAGCAGCACTGATGACCCTGGATGAATGGCAGGCCAAGAACTGTCTGATGCACAAGCGCTTCGATAAGATACCAAAGATCTTTGAAAGGAGTCCGTGCCCGTAAACTCAGCTTTGTGGTTTATAGACGTATCAGGAAAAACTACACTTTCAAAACATATTTGTGTATATGTATATAACAAAATGTATATATTTGAGTATTTAGGTTTTCTTTCTAGCTTTTTGATTTACTTCTTTCAAATGCATGCACGTTCCTCCTAATTTAAAAACTTATGCATGTTTTCAGTGGTTTTGTTTTGTGAAAGTCTGAATCACTGAAGAATGTCCTAAACTTGAATTACTGACTTAGATTACTGACTTTGTTTTTGGACCTTTTGATTTTGTGCGTCTTTTATTGCACTTAATTTTTTCTTTACGATAGCGATGATTTGTTACTATGTCAGTTTTACTGACGAAGTAACAAAGAAGCATCTGCACTTTCTAGGTACTGTTCTTTGAAATATTTACTCAGCGTTGGTGTAAATATTTAAAGATTTTGCTCAGTAACTAAAAATTATGAACATGGTTATATTGTTGCATTAAACGTTCTTTTTTCCATGGCTGATTCTTACTGTCGTCTTTGGCCATTTATTTAAAATAAAATAATAATAATCAGACAAATTTAAATACAGTCCAGTGTCAGGATCTGTAATTGTATTTTTTTTCCCCATATATTTTTTTTAATTAAAAATTTGTGTTTTACAATACAAACATTTGAACACCCTCACATTCACACACCCATCCATACATCAAACCTGCCTACATCATATTCAAATGAACAAATAAGCATAGTTCTTACAGTAATACGAGGAATTAGGATAAACAAGATTCTCCCCTCTTTTCCTTCTTTCTCATAAACATCCTTCACCTCCCCTAAAATATCCATATATGGCTTCCACATATTCACAAAGTGCCACTGTTTGCCCTCGGCAATATATGTTAGTCTTTCCAGGCCTAGAATCTATTCCCTTCTTCCAGAGTCCCATGGAGGGAGCATCCATACTCCTCCAACATAGTGCCATGGCTTTTCTGGCTTGAAGTAGTCCATAGTCCAGTAATTTGGTTGCTTAAATTCCCTTGGATATATTCCAAGTACACAAAGTTGACCTTTTAGAGGGATTTTTACCTTAAACACTAAAGACATTTGATATCTTTCCAAAATTTCTGGATTTTAGGACATTCCCATACACAAAGGAAAATAGTTCCTTTTTCAACTAAACATTTAGTACAGATGTCTGGAATATCATTGGACATATGATGGAGCTTGGCAGGTGTTATATAGGTTCCTGTGAGCCCTTTATATTGCAGGAGTTTAAAGCGTGTGTTTATTGTTTGTTTTTGTGCTTTTAAGCCTGGTTCTAGTCATTTTCATCTGTCCTCCTGGATCTCCAGTCTCCAAGCATCCAGGTTATCTGCTGCTGAGTCTTTGGAGAAAAGCATCAATAAATGATAATATATATATTTATATATATAGAGAGAAAACCTTTCCCTTTTGTATTCTTAAAGCATACCTCTTCTGTTTTTGTTAATGGTGGAAGTTCAGCAATCTTTTGCAGTTTTGATGACAAATAATTTTTCAATTGTAAATATTTAAAAAAGTGCTTTAGGCGTATTATTACATAACTGATCAAACGCTAACCAATGGTTTAGCGTTTCCGTGACCTCTTCTACAAACATAATTTGAGGTTATGTTCTTGAGGCTTGAGGTGATCCTAGTGCCTAAATATTTAAAGCCTGTTTTAGTTGTTTTAAATGGGGTGGCCACAACAGGCCGCCTTCTTTCTTCCTCATTAAGAAACATTAACTCTGATTTAGAATTTTTAATTTTGTATCCTGAAATTTCTCCATTTTTTAATCAATGTTACTAAATTAGGGATACTATCTTTCAGATTAGTCAAAAAATATAATATTATCTGCAAATAAAGAAATTAAATGGTCTCTTTATAAATGATATTCCTGTATTTGCTCTCACAGCGATGGCCAGAGGTTCTATTGCGAACACAAAATGAATTGGTGACAGAGGGCAGCCCTGCCTGGTTGACTGCTGTAGATTAAAGGGTTTTGTTTTATTAGTTAAAACTTGTGCTTTTGGGTTTGTATACAATAACCGGATCCATTTCAGAAATGTTTCACCAGTCCATATTTGTGGAGCACCTGTAAGAGATGGTTGCATGGATCCAGTGATAACAGCGCAGTGTCCTTACTATTGTTTTTCTCATAAAGTACATTATATTATAATAGCCTTGTCTCGTTTTAACAAAACCTTGTTGATCATCTATTATCAAATTAGGCACACATTTATCTGGTCTCCCAGAGAGTGCTTTACACAAATCTTTGTATCACATCCCATAAGACTAATTCCCCTATAAGAGGAGCATTCAGTCGGAGGCTTATTTAGCTTCGATAAAAGGGACTCTAATTATATTTAAATCCAGAATATACACTTACAGTTATAAAATTAAGCATCAGTTGGAGCTTTCCTCAGATCCCCCCCCCTCCTCGCAGAAAGAATCTGATTTGTACCAGTAGATGTAAATTATAATAGTAGTAGTAGTTAAAATTGCTTCCATCATTTTTGATAATTTGCACTGGTTCATCATTTAAAATAGTTTTTTTAGGGGTTATAATTTTGCTTTTGCTTTTTCCTTTTTCACATGCAGCTTTGTATTGGGTGGTTGAGATTTATCGATCCATGATGGTGCACTCTCGCTTAAAATATTCATATAACACTAGTTGAATAGAATCAATCAGTCTGCAGGTTTTGCCCCTGCACATTAATTTTTAATTTTTAGAGACGGTGACAGTGACATACTAAGAAAAAGGATATTGTGTATAAAGCGAGAAATTTAGTCAATTTCTTCAGTGAATTTGCTATTTTGCAACAACAATTATCTCAAGGTGCTTTATATTGAAAAGTAGAGCTCTTATAGTTCTTGACTGAGGATGATTACAACGAAGGTATTGCACACAATCATCTAATACGTGATATTGTATCCATCCCTGAGGAGGAGCTGGCCTGGGAAGAATTTGACATCTAGATGAACTTGAGGCTTCCTCAGTTTACAGACCTATTACCTGAACAAAGTCAACCTGGGGCATGAATGCATCACGTTGCACACAGGAATTATATGAAGTATTCACCCTCATTCTGATGACTTAGTGTTTTGCATATCTGTCATTTGTTTCAGATCATAAAGGTTTAGGTAATACAAGTAAATACAAGTAAATTATTTCATTTATGAAAGGAAAAGGTTATCCAAAAAAGTATTAAATTGGGGATAATACGTTTTTATTATCAATATTTAAGATTATTAGTTGATTTGCAGATGATCCCTGGATTTATCGATAAAGCCAGATGACACATCAATTAAACTACAGGCATGTGTTAAAAACATGAAGATGACCTCTATTTTTCTATTTTTTAACATGTATTAAAAATAAAGTCAATAAAAGGGCAGTGACATTTAACATGTAAACCGTAACCTTACTCCAGTGTGTGGGCCTAAACTGAAGAGACATAAATAACTATATAAACTAATCTTTTTAAATGTACTTTAAGCCTCTGGCCAATCAGAAGCGTTAGCACAGAACTGTAGTTTGGGAATCTAATGTAAACAACATGTGCGCGTTTTCGTGTCAGTTTGTTCACCTCAAGTTTGAGCTTTGCAGTGTCGCCTGCTCATTTAACCTTTATGTGCGTCGTGTGTTTGAACACCTGTGCGCGCTACCGAGAGAGGAAGGCGTGTGCGTAAAGTACGTGGGCGCGTGTCTAGCAGATTAATTTCCAAGAAAGAGGTGAGTTTTATTTCATGTTGTTTGTGTGGTCTTACAGCTTTAGCATATCCAAAATATCGATGAAGGTAACAAGCTAAAAGCTAATGTTAGCCCTGAGCGTGCGCAAGGACGTGTGTTTTTGAGGACCGAGCAGGTGCGAAGTAAGTTAGGTAATGTAAAAAATAACGCGGGGCTAGAGTCTTCTTGCTTAAGGCCAACAAAAAGTTTGTCTTTAATCAAGTGCGGAGGAACGTTTGGGCTCAACTAAAGTGATTTCGGCTGTTTGGCTAACCATTTGGCTAACTCTAAGCTAATAAGCCGAAACGTAAAAAAACTAAAGGGAAATGCGCGCAAGTGTTTTTAGTGGTGATATAGTTTGTTTTTGTTTTTTTAGAGAATGTACAAAGTCCCCCAAACCCATAGCATTATATTTAATTTTCAACATAATTTAAGTTACCTTAACTAACAATATAAATGGGAAAGTTATTTTTTAATTAGCTCACGCGTGCAGTTTTACCTACCTGTGACTGTAGAAATCGAAGTCAAAGACAAAAAAAGATCAAAACAAAACCGCACAGTTCAAACCGGTGACTTGTGATGTGGTGATTGAATTTCTCGATTTACATAAAGAAAAATGTGTTAATTTTCTGCCCATTTGATGAACAAAATTTTTTGTTGTTGTTGTTTTAAATGTAAATCCACTTTAAAAAAAATTGGGGGAAGCTCAAACCCTCCCTGGGGTGATATTAGAGTTGTTTGTGCATGTTAGTGTTTGGAGTTTTTGTTAGTTTGGAGCTTACTTGAGTTAGGTTAGAGTTGCTTTGCAGCTTTGTATTTTACTTTTTGCTTTTATCTTTTATTCTACTGTGAATATTATTATTATTTTTTAATTCAAAAGCTACTTTCGGCTGCTTGCTTGTTTACAGGTGGTCGTCAGAGCAGGTAACTCTGCAGGTTTGATCTGCAGCTTTTTACGCCAGAACTCGGGCGGCACAAGCCTGGTGCCTTGTCCTGGAATCAGACCAGGTATCCTGTTAGGTGAATGTGTAAACCATTACACTATGGAGCCACTGGTAAAAATTTTGCATAATAACCTTTAAGAAAAGTTTGAGGATGACACTGTGCTTTGTGTTTGGCTTTGACAGCAACAATAGGTAGCCAAAAGGACAAAGCAGGTGGAGATGGCTCATAAAGTCCAGGGTGAGTAAGTGCAAAATTGATTTTAAAACTCACAGCTGTTGGGTAGTGTGGACTGCATGATCTCATAACAACACAACAAGACAAGTGACCTTTGTGTTATTTAAGTTTTGCTGTGGGATACGACAGTGTATTGGTTAGTTTGAGCAACTAGGAGGACATTCATAGAGGTTGTGATTAATATTTGTGTTGGTGTTGAGCTGGCTAAATGTTTAAAGTTGGAAAACTCTTTTGTTATATTGGAGGTTTTTGTTTTCTAAACATAAATGGGGGAACAAATAAATGGCATAAAGTTTGAGTGGTCAGCCCAGAAATCGTGTGTACTGGGAAGAAAATAACTGATAATATTGATAATTTTTGAATTTTCTTCACCTTCAACAGGTATGGATAAAAAAAGAAGAAATAACGTGATGGTCTGCTGTCTGAAACCACCCATATTCAAACATTTGAAACCTCTTTCCATGTATTCAAGGATGACCTGTAACAGAAAGGCTGATCTGCAGCAGTCGGGAAGGTTTTCTACATTTAATCATTTAGAAATTGAGGTCCATAATAACTGGATGAATAAAAGGAAACCGTAC